AATACTATTAATTTAGGAAATGAATTTCCGTGTTTTTTATACAATAATGTTCATTAGTTCAAAGATGCTTCTATTTCTTTTAATTTTGAACAAGTGGACATTAAAGTTGAGTTGTAGGGTATAAAATTATGACTTAATGTCACAAAAACTAAATTTCAAAATTTTTCGACTAAAGTGTGTATAATAAAATAAAGTGTGTAATATAAAATAACTTTGTTGTGTTTTCCGTTCAAACTATTTGAAACAGAATTTTTCAATAAAATTTAACAATAAAAATTTTAAATACCGTTATTTTATGTGAACTATAATGGCAACAATGTTGCGTAGCTGGTGAATATACAATGTATACATCCGGATACATAAAAAGTTTGAGGGCCCTATTACTCAAAAAATAACATGTTTTTGAAAATAATATGAGAATAAAAAAATGTCTAGAATAAGTTTCTACATCAATATTGCCTATAATTGCCGTTTATATGTGACAATCCACAAAAGCGGGTACTAGTACCCGACCCGCTCATAATGTGTTAAGAACGTGCTCACATTTTGAACCCAGTTCAGTCAGCTGGCACACAGAAGAGTAAGAATCCTTTAGAAAATTTGAGTAAATAAAAATTATTTTTACAACCTTTACATTCACCTCTCAGTTGGATTTTATTTTGTTGTTAAATTAATAGAGCTAATGCCAGGAAAAATTTCACTTATATGGAGTCATTTCCAGGATTTAAGAAGACTAAAAATCTTTCAAAGAAAGTGAGAGCTGAATATTACTTAAATATTATTAATAATTATTTATTGTATGTATAATAAAAATTGCAAAACTCTTATATTAAATATTTTACTAAAAAAAAATTTTTTTTTGCTTTCTATCCTTGAATGAAAACTTACTTTTCTAAGTTATTAAAAATAGAAATAAAGTTTTCATAGTTTTGATAATTTTTTTCTTTCAAATTTTAATTGACAACAAGAACATATCAATAACATTGCCTTCAGAACAGAAAGTTTAACTAAAAATGCAAAATCTTTTGAAATCTAATTATTGTTTTTACAATTAAATGAGAATTTTCTGAAGCAAATATAAAAAAACTCAATAATATTTTTAAGAAAGAGTAAAAATTTCCTTTTTTAGAAAAAATAGAAAGTTTTTTCTTTAATGCAGAGCAGAATTTCATAGAACACAAAATGTTCACTTTCTTTTACTGAACTACTCAAGTACAGTTTTGCTGTTTATCTGAATAAAATTTAAAATTAAATTTTAAAATTAAAAAATTTATTTTGTTTTAAATTTTGATTACAATTAAATTATTTATTTCCTTGGTAGATGCTTAATAATTTCTGTTTTCTTATTCTTTTTAAGCACATCCAGTAAATAACACAAAAATTTGCTATCAAAAATAAATTTGTAAAATAAGTTTATTGCATTGTACTTTAGGTTTAGGTTTAGGTTGACGCGGCTATTTTAGAATACACTTAGGCTATATAGGCCCGTTGTGATACCGCTAGATCTCCATATCCCCACCCTCACGTGAACCAGACCGAATGTTTTATAAACTGGTTTACATCCCTGGCATTTACATTCGCCAGGTCCGTAACTAGCAAAAAGAAATCCCACCCAAGGAACCTTCATTTTCTCCGTGCCAAAGCAACGGATGAGTACAGAAAATGAGCCCCCATTCCCTCATCTTCCCCGTCACAACAACTCCTGCAGAGATCCTTAGCTAGATGCACTACACTTCTAGCGTGTTCACCAATCAGACCCAGTTGTATCTCCTTTGTACTCATTGTAATTGGAACAACCAACATTTAATTTACAACATATTTAATATAATTGCTCTTGTTCAATTGTTAATGAGAAAAGCATATTTTAATATTCTGTTTATCACTTAGGTCAATAGGTTTATTAGGTAAATATTTCAAAACTATTCTGTTTTCAGAAACTCTAAACTTCCTGCAAAATGTTAGAGCGCAAATTGTGATTCATTTTTTGAAGGAATGTTCGCCATCCAATAATAATATGTCATGTTTTATGTTTACATACTTATTAACCTTGTAAAAACCTCCCACAAGTTGTTTAACCTTAATATAAACATATAAACAAATATTTTTCTGATGGCAAAAAATAAAAACAATGTTATGAGGACAAAATGAATAATATTCGAAAGACTAGATAGCTATAGGCTTAATTTACAAAACCTATGAACCTATATATATATATATATGTATATATACATATATGTGCATACATATTATTATGTACATTATATGGAAAAAATATATAAAAGCAAACAAATTAATCTTAATTTTTTAATTAATTCCCAGTATAATAGTAACAAATTGCCTATACCATTTATAAAACAAAGAGAAAAATGATATTATTTTTAAAATTTATATACCATGTGTAAGCATTTCTATGTATAGGAGCATCCGAAATATAAAAATTTATTATTAAACGTTTTCATTTTAAAGGAAATTTTAATATTATATGGTGCGTGTAAGTGTGTTTCGATTCATTGACATGAATTTAGTTGTATGTATGTATGCAAAATTGTGTGAGAATTTTGTTGGCGAACTCTAAATTTATATTTGGTATACACTTTAAATGAAGTGACCCAATCAATAAATTTAAAAAAATATTTAAAATTTTGCATATTGTGGGCTCATAATTTTTTTGCCACATTTTGTATAAATTTTAATTTCTTAATTTTTTTATTACATATAGAGTTTTATGATAAAATTTTTTAATTTTAATAAAAGGAACAAAATACTATAATATCATTATAAATTTATAAGGAATAATACCAATTTTATATAAATTGAGCTTCTTATAAGAAAAGTTTCACTCATCATTCTACACAAAATTCGTTTTGCACAATATTTTGACTTTTGGATTTCCTTACTTACTTCCCACATTATTATGATCTCCTACTACAGCTAAAGTAATTGTTTTATATATACTGCTGAAAAATATATTGTAGATTTTATGAAAGCCAACTTTCATATTGAAGAGCTTAGGAATGAAAGAATTGATAACTATTTCAATATATAAGTTGAACTCGACAAATTTTTAGAACCAATTTTAAATGCTCGAAAATAAAACATACAAAATTATTTTGTCAAAGAAGTCAGCATAAATTTTTAAATCGTACACCATAAATACACTTGTGTGAGTTCCAATTTCTCATAAAAATAGTCGAAGAACTACAAGACTTTAGAATTAAACTTCTTATCACCTGTAGGTAAACGATACACAAAATTTAACTGCAATCGGATAAGAGACTGTTTTTCGGACTTAAAGGTTATTTTACGGGTTAATATTGCATAAAGGCTAAAAAAACGGCCCAATTGCACCAAGAATTTTTTACTTTTTTGGAATCAATCAATTAAAAAACTTCACAAAGAGTCTAATGCAGTAATGTCAAATATAAACCTAATAATCTATACTAATAAGAAAAAATTCCTTTTTAATAAGTTAAAAAATGAAAGTGGTTCGGACAAAGATTTAAAATTTAAGTTATACAAGTTGAATTTTCAAATATACTTGCGTATGTAAATTTATTATCAGGAAATATTAAAATCTTCCATTTATTTTAATACATTCGCCAACAAATTACATTTTTTTTACTTTAATAACTAATTAATTAACTTAATATAAATGAACAACACTCATTGAAAAATTAACCTTTGAACTAAATGACCATCCTATTGAATATATTTTGATCTTTTCACCGTATTTTCAATAATATTAATCAATATTATTTTATTTAATCAACAACAAAAAGCATGTATAACACATATAGCAACAGAATATTATAACAAATATCCTAGCAGCAAAATTATTACAATGTTAACTGTAGCCTAAATACCTACTATACTAAACTGCAAAGACCTAATATTATTATTATATTATAGTACTAACAAATTAATATATCCATATATGTGCTTGTACCAACATAAAATAAAATTATAAAAAATTAAAGTTGAAATAATTATTATTATAATTTTATTCAATAATAGAACATGAACCCTTACAAAGGTATAACAAAATATTTTTTAACATGATTACTCATATATAAAAATAAACAATTTAAATAATATTTACTTTATCCTTTTTAACCTAGTATATATTGTTTTTTTATATAAATAATTTTTTGACCTATAATGGATTTTTTTTGCATAACAAATTATTATTATACACAATAGAATTCTAATACAACAATAATATTTTTAAATTTAAATTAAATTTGAAATTATACCCGTATATTCTCGTATTCAGAACGATAATGTAAGAACTGTACTTCAAATTATAATTCGAACTCGTTTTAGTTATACTAAGTAGGTAAAATTAGAAGCAATAAATTTCGAATAAACAACATATGGGTACATAGAATATAATAAAATTGTTTTCAAATTATCTTTCATAATCATTATTAAAATAAAATATTTGGAAATACAACTTAAGTATATTATAACGTATAACATTATAAGTGTATATAAAAGAATAAAATTTACCATGTTTTTCATATTACAGATGTATTCTGTTATAAAAATGTAATGAAGAGTAACAGAAGAGAATTTTATAATTCATTAATATTAGTGAATTTAATTTTTAATAATTATTATTTTTAATTTTAAAATCACATCAAGAAAATATTATTTTGTTAATTAATTTTTTCTTTTTCTTGTTTCATATTTTGAGAAAGACGAAGGAAAAAAGAAATTGAAAAGGACATTATTGTGTCATTAAAAATTATTCTTTCCTTTAAATTTTCTTTTCTTCCTCTTTCTCCTTTACTTTTGAATTTTAAACACTTTTTAAGGACTTTTTAATTTTTTTTCTTTTGAAATTTTATAAATTTTCTTTACGATTGCATACTTATAGGTACTTATATATTATTATGTATATACGAAATTAAATATTCGAAAAATAAAAACTTTATTAAAAAAAAAAGAATATTAAAGTATGAAACAAAATCAAAAATGCATAAATTAAAATATTTTACACTTTTTTTTTTCGTTGGTATTGTGTGGAACGGAGCGGTTTTGAGGTTACTACATTTTTGTTACTCGTTATTTTTAACCCGTTAACAAAAAAATTGTTGCTACTAAATGGTTTTATTTCTCTTTTTTTTTTTTGTTTTTTTGGTTATACAATGTTGTTATAATTGTTATATTTTTTTAGTACACTTAAATCTTGATTAAAAATTTTCATTTTTATTTTAGTAGTTGTTGTTGGGGAAAGAAAATTCGTATCATACCATAAATTAACTAAATTTCTACAATCCTTATTTTTAAAATTTTCTTCTTCTCTTATGTTATTTATTAACAATTTTTTTGTATTGCCTTAATCCTTAAATTATACTTTATTTTGTCCACTTCTTTCCATTTATTCGCCTTAACTTTCAGATTTTTTTTTTTGTTTTTGAATTACAACTGGTTTTTTTTCTTCCTCTGGAAAATTTTTATATTTTTTTTTCATTATTTAATTTTCATTCTTTTTTAATGAAAATTTAACACTGTCACCTTAAAAAGTAATTTTTTATTATTCGCGTATTATTTTTACTTTATCTTTATTAATTATCTTTGCTGATTTTATTTTTTGCTAATTTAACTCTTTTTTTTCCAGTTTTACACCTTTTAATTATAATTTTTTTATTTCTGTATATTATACACATGCATGCTATTTTATTACTTGTATATATATGTATTTTGTATGTACATAGTTTGTGTGTGTGTTTTTTAAAGAATGTTTGAGGAAATGCTCTTATTTCTTTGGTATAATTGTCCTATTTACTTGCGCTCCTCATTACCTTATTTTTTTGCTAAACCATTAAATTAAATAGCTGGGTACATAAATAAATGTTGTGTGTCTAAATCTTTTCATTAATTTTAAAGAAATTTTTAATTTTATTTTTCTATTAGAATTGGGTATTTTTAAAATTTCATATTAAACAGAATTTTATTTATATAATATAAAAGTATGTACATACATTATTTACCTTTTATTTTCATAGAGAAATTTTTAAAAATTTCATGTTTATAACATTATTAATTCTGTAGCAGAGTTTAAAAATTTAAGAGGAATTTAAAATAATAAGCACTTTTTTAAGTTAAAAATAAATATTATAAATTTTTAGAAACTAATTTAATAGGAAAAGAATTTATTTTTAAAAATGAAAAATTTTTTAATAACTAAGAACTGAAATTGTTTTCGTTTTTACATTATTTCTGTTATATACACAAAACTTAATTATTTTTCTAAAAATTTTAATAATTAATTTAAATTTTTTCCCATTTGTTGGCACCCATTTATAAATGAAGTGTGGTAAATGAAAAATAATTACTTTTGAGTTTTTTTGTCTTATAAAAAATTAAAAATATTTTTTTCACTTCTTTATTTATTTGAAAATTTCATTAAAAAAATTTTTATTTGTTTTCATTTTGCATTTTCCTCTAATTTTACAATTTTTCCTATTATTTTTTATTCTTTATTTTTACTAACAATTTTTTTCTGAAATAAACGAATAACGAGCGACGAAAAAATCACGAACCGAGCGCTTCATTTTATCGCGAAAAACTGAACTAAAATTTTATCTTGACCAATGTATTTTATTCCTTAGTGAGAAGGATATACGCAAAAAAAAAAAAATTTTTTTTCTTGTTTTTTCAATTTTTCTTTTTTTATTTTAAAAATTTTCATATAGTCGGAAAATTATTTTGAAATAGCAATAACAAAAAAAATAAAAGAGAATAATTTGAATAGTGAAAATAGAGAGAAAAAAACATAAAAAGCTTTTCCATTTCCATTACAACATATTATTGTTATAGAGAAAATTTTTTCAGAATTCAAGATGAACACAAAAAAAATGTTCATTTTCAGGAATGAATTATGAATTTTTTAGTAAAAGCTGCTATATTGAGAATGGAATTGTAATTTACGTAAGAATACTGGAAATGGAATTTATGATAAAGAAACGTTATTTATATCAGAGAGAGAGAGAGAGAGAAAATGAGAAAATGGAAATGAATGAAATCAGAAAAAGAGAAATTTGATAGGAAAAGAGAAAATAGAAAGGACAATTTAATAAAAATTAATATATCAGAATAATTTTACAAAACAAAATTTCACTTTTATTCATGGGGTTTCTCTCCATCTAAAAATAATAACAAATTTCACTTTTCCTTTTGCATAAAATGTTATTACTGTAATGAACTTTTTGAATTCATTCTGAGTTTAATAATTTTATAAAAACGTATACCTTACCTACTATCTTTCTCAATATTTTTTCTTCCTCTCTGCTCATTTTGCAATTAAATTTATTTTTATACTGCACGTTGCTAGATTCATTTGAACTGATTGACTACTGCTAATACAAATATTTCAAAAATAGAGAAGAATTAAAGGTATTTTGTTTGTAGCGAAGTATACAATATTATTCTACAATAATTAATGAGTATTTAAGCAAAAAAATTTTTGAAATTTATAAGGATAAATACCATACAAGTTTGTTTGACAACACATCCGTTATATTAAAGAATATTTGTTTGGGTTTAATTTTACTCTATTTTTAGAAATTTTACTAAATATTTTGGAAATTTCATTTGTTATACGAAGTTTGTATGTTGGTATACATGTTATTTTGTGAATAAGTTCAGTACAATCTAATATTTACTTCGTTTATGGCATATTTTAAAGTTTAATACTCGTTAATCACATACTTGCCTTTTAAATTTTATAGTTTCTCAATTTTATAGTTTTCAAGTTGTTGCTTAAATTAACAAGGAAATTAAAACGGGGAAAAAATTATCTTTGGATATTAAAATTTAAGTTTAAAGTAAATGGAGTGCTTACACATGGGAAAAATGAATTTGAATTTTAATTTTTAGTAATTTTTATTTTTGAAATTGTACATGAACTTTTAGTAATTAACACGTTCCCGCCGGCTTGTACCATAAATGGTACATTGAGGGCTGTCCCATAGGTCGGCTTGTACCATTTATGGTACATACACAATTGTCCCATCGGGCGGCATGTACCATTAATGGTACAATGAAAGAAATCAATTTTATATCTATTTTTTGCTAATAAAAAGAAAAAAAAGTTTGCAAATGATCTTAGTTAAAACTATTTATTAGTTAGTGTAGTTCATTACATTAAAAAAAATTATTTATTTTCATGAGTCTTATTGAAGCAAGGTAAGCACAAAGGTGGTTTGTCTTCACAAGCACTACAAAATGTCACTCTTTTAGCTTTTTTTGCAGCTATAGAAGAACCCTTTTCCTGAGATAAATTTTTATAACACTCCCTACAACGTTTGCGGGTGTTTACTGCTAGGCCAACAAATTTTTCCATAACATGTTTCTTTTTCGTGATTATTTGTGTTTGCGGAATTTCTTCATCTTCTAATAATTTATTAATAATTGATGATGTAAATTACTATCATTGCATGAAAAATCAACAGGATTAGCTTGTAGTTCTAATGTATCTTCATCTGAAGTGTAAATGATAGGTTGGCTCCATTTCCTTCTATAAAAAATGTCTGAAGATTCATCTGATGAATCATTCATTTCTGTACCCATAGTTGATATTCTAATTGGTTGTAATAAAAATAGCAAATCATAAAAATAAAATTTTGTAATAACTTATATATTACTTTCATAAAAATCTCACAATAAAGAGCACAATAACTATAAGTTCTCGTTATCAGGTTTCATCAGTGACTTTGTTCTGAACGTAATCGCATATCTCTCATTGAGAGAAAGTCACAACAGCGCAGCGCCGTCCGATGAAACAAACTAGGATTTACAGCGCCGTCAGATGGCGAGAACTACAAATTAGGCCGCCGGCGGGAACGTGAGGTGAAAATTCCTAAAATGTTCAAATTAAGTTTTTCCTATATAGGCTTCAAACAAACGATATTGTCCTGGATGCTATAGTTTAAGTTAAGATAATAGACTGATGAACCATTATCAATTAATAAAGAAATTTAAATATGTATATGAACTAATAAAATCACACTTTCATGAAAATTTAAATAATAAGCAACTAGATATTCGAACTTTCTTTTAGTAGGTCCTTCTAGATTCGAAGAAATATGGTTTTGTTAACTTTATTTATTACAATACCCAAATTTTTAATAGAATAAATACACACAATACCTTTTAAATTTTTAAATTTTTATAGAATTATTATGTAAAACTGTATACTTGTCATCCAAATTCAATGTGAATTGAACTCAATTAAAATCAATAAATCGAAAGCTAATTGCTGCGTTTTTTCAAAAATTATCTAGAAACTCTGACTCAAAGCTATTACATAAAACAACTACATATAAAATATTGTTTTTAATATAGTTTGACTGAATACTTTAACTTTCATCTTTCAGCATCCCAAACTACAAAGTTTTTCTTTTCAATATTAAAATTCATTTATTGATATCGGGGGAATTATGTAGCTCTTGACTATATGAATTTATTTCTTTATTTTTTAAACAAATTTATTGTGGAGCTCTTCAAGTGATAAGAAATTTAAATTGAAAAAATATTAATCTACTTAGAATTCAAGATCTGTACACTTCAGTTTAAAGTATCGAAAAATTTTAAATATAAAAAATTCCAAGATTTATGCACTTTTAACAATATTAGGGTGAGCAGTTAAACTGGAAAACAAAATAAAAGGGGTGCATTTAATCAAGAAATTGAATTTATTTTTATATTTATAGGGGTGGGATAAAATTTTTTGTTCTCACAGAATAACAAATATTTTTTTATTAATTGACATTGCAAAAATAAATTTTTTTATAAGTTTTACATGGTTTAAGAACGAAATTAAATTTAAATGAAATTTTTTTTAAAGAGATGAGACAATGTTGAATTTAAAATATTATTCTTCTCTAATTAATAAAGAACACAAGAACTGTTCAAATCATAGAAAATAAAAATCATAATGGATTATAAAGAGTTATTATTATATTAATTAGAGTTCGTAAGTGATCACTATTACAAGTAATATTCCAGGGATACCGAATTGCTTCAAAAGGGCTTCAAATTTTATAAGAATATTTTAAGAATATTTGAAATTTATAGAACAAAAGATTTTTAAGAAAAATATTTTCTTTCTTATATTGTAAAAATTTCTCTTATATACAATTTGTATGTATACAACTTATTTATTTAAGATAAAAATTCATTAGAATTATTTTTTATAATCTCTGGTTTTATTAAAAATCTGATTACTTTTAAAAAATTAAAACTAATTGTATTTTATGCATATACATATCTACACATATATTTTAATATTATTAAGTTATTAAGGGATTTTTAAAATAATCCTGAAAAATCATAATGATTTGTTAATTTTACAATAATAGAAATATGTAGATAATAAAATTTAATTCTTACTTATAACACAACTCTTGTCAGAAAATTTATTTTAAATTATGATTTTATTAATTGTCTTTTACTTTACAAAGTATTATACATATTATTATTATTACAATTAATATTTTTGTTAATTATTTTCAAAATTTTAGAAATCTTTTATTTGTATATACTATTAGAATAGTCCTTAAAATTTTACCATATAGGAGAATCTTTATTTTAATATTTTTTCCCACGAATATTCATTTTAAAGCAGTAAGTTTTCCTAAGTTCGCATTTTAATTATATATTCTATTATATTATTTTTGCAAATATTAATATAAAATATCTTAGATTGAAAATCTTTATTCACAATTATTACTTGCATAATTTTTAATTTAAGATTTTTCTCCATTATAGTATAAGAATTTTTTACAGAGTTAAAATAATGAACAATAAAGTGATAAGAATTTAATCCTTTTAAATACAGGGACTATTTTTCATAAATTCAAAGGAATTGGGTAATATTAATTTTGTATTTTTAGGATATTTCAATTTTAAGTCGTAATAAAATAGATTATTTTATATATTATATACAGGGTGATTTTAAAATTATACAACAACATATACCATTGGTTAGGAGATCGAAATTGGTTAAAACTTTTGTTCCGAACTGGATGCCAAATCTCAAGGGTTTCCGAGTTCCAGGGATTTTAAAGAATTTTCACAAAATTTTTACTTATCCAAGTTTTTTGTATTATAACGTCCATTCTGAAAAAGATAGAAACTCAAGCTTCAAATAGACATGCTGCTTGATTCTGTATTTTATGTACCTTCGGAATTCCAAGCATTCGAACTTTAGCGAAAATCATATTTTTCCCCTGTTTTATTTTTTCATTTTTTTCTTACTAGATAATTTCGTAAGAAATTTTTTAAAACCTTGAACTTTTTTCGTAGAATATTTTCCCCAGCTGCTTAAGCTTTATATTTAAGTCCTCAAACATTAAAAAAATTTTTATGGTACAGAAAATTTACCACAAAAATCATTTCTATGTCAAGATTTATTATTAAAGGCCCCATTTTTCACTATTTTTTATTTTTATTGATTTGATTGCGCTGTAATTATCGTTATTTTCGATGACAAGAGTCACTCGAAAAAACATTCAAGTGAATTTCGATTACAAAAGTCACTCTGACACTT